AGGAACCTACCCAAGGAACCAGACCTCCAACTACTTCAGAGAGGAGTATTGTGGTTTGCAGGATTTGCGGTGATTGGATTTTGATCTTGCTAAGTACGCCTGACATGAAGTGCTATAGTTCCTTGCGTCAGGCCTGGATTTTACCATCGCCTAGCTGTGTTCGGTTTTAGGCTGCGCTTGCGTTAATTTCATTTTTTGACTACTCCTATTTCTAAATTAGACATTGAAGCTACATAATCTCTTGGATCTCAATTACTCCCTCCGTCCGAAAATACTTGTCATTAAAATGGACAAAAAGGGATGTATCTAAAACTAAAATACATCTAGATACATCCCCTTTTATTCATTTTGATGACAAGTATTTCCGGATGGAGGGAGTACTTTGTAACTGCAGACTAGATCTGAATTGCCTTTTTAGGGAATAATTGCAAACTCCTGACCACAACTTACTTTTTACTAGACCTAATGACCTTTATACCAATTAGTGTTTCTCATATTCCACAAGCTGTTGCCACCCTTTATGCCTTCCACTTTCTTGATCTGACCTGACCATGAGAATAAACCTTCTCTTTTTTTGCTGTTTCAAATAACTGATGTCATAAATAGAATATCACCTGGAGTATAATCCAATGCAGTGAAGATTAAAGAAAAAATCAATTGCAATCAGTTGCTCCTGCTGTATTAATAGCCTGTTATGATCTATGTTTCAAGGTGCAACTTTTGTCTTTATATTTTGCCGGATTCTAAGGCTGCTGTGTAGCACTTTATTTTAGTAAATTCTGTTCAAGCTCTATATCAGTGGTATTGATATCTGAATTTGGGAATTTTTGTTCTACTTGTGTTAATTATGACTTTGGGGGATATTTTGTTCTAGCTCTGTAGTGATGATTTTGATAAGTAATCACCCTTGATGTCAGGATTAGTTCTCTTGCCACCGTTTCTCTTTGCTAGCAATCATATTTACATGAAAAGTAACAGTGCAGAACCAGAGTCCATGGTTCGTAGTTCACCTTTCCTAAGGACTATTTGTTAGTGCTACACCTACACATATGTGATTTTGTGTTTGATTTGTTTGTGAAGAGGCTAATCAGCATTGAATAATTGTGTTTAGTCATCTTTTTTAGATGTGTAGGGCCACTTTATGAAGTTGCTATATGCTTGTTCATTCATTGTAGCAAAATTATGTAGTAACAATTGTATGTACATCACTTCTCTTGTCAAAATTATATTTTTCCATAGTTACATGCACATGCAACTATTATCCACAGTGACAAGAAAAGAAGCTATTTCCTATTATTTTTTAGTTGTCACACTGGGAACACAAAGAACATAAGCCTTAATTCCTGATCATTTGTATTTCAGGTTGATTAGAGAAGCTCATAAGAAAGGCGCGAACATTGTCCTCATTCAGGTAAACCCATATGATAAAGAAATGTGATGTTCATTGATGAGTGACAAGATTTACGCTTGCAGTATTTCTTTCAAGACATGCATGGCAGGCATATGGATTCGGATGTATATTGATATTCTGCCTTTAGTTTCACAGCAAAATGATGTGATTCTCCACTGACATTTGTTAAATACTGCAGGAGCTATTTGAGGGGCACTATTTCTGTCAGGCTCAAAGGATGGATTTCTTTGGGCGTGCCAAGCCTTATAAAGAGAACCCGACTATAATGAGGTAGGGTAGCTTGTTGTGCTTTAAGCATGTGGACTGCTGGCTAGTGATATTTTCAGTCGGTATCTGTAATATTTATACATTCATTTCATTTTTTATGGTCCGTAGAATGCAAAAGCTTGCAAAGGAGTTGGATGTTGTAATACCTGTAAGTTTCTTTGAAGAAGCGGGCAATGCTCATTACAATTCCGTGGCCATTATTGATGCTGATGGCACCGATCTTGGCCTATACCGCAAATCACACATTCCAGATGGACCAGGTATGACTATACAGCAGTGTTTGCCTAATATACATTATAAATTCTGTAAGTGGACTATCTGATATAGATAAAATGCTTTCTTTTGTCAGGTTATCAAGAGAAATTTTATTTCAACCCGGGTGACACTGGATTCAAGGTAAACATTATTCAGTATCTGTATAAGATACCACTTTCGGTTAAACAAGATGTACATATTGTAGCTGTGGCTATCATTGTTATTATTAGAAACTTCCTTAGTAAACCTACTTTTTCTTGATGCAGGCTTTCAAAACCAAGTATGCAACAATTGGTGTTGGTAAGTTACTTTCATTTGCACAGATACCATTTTTTATGTAATTTCGTCACAGTAGCTCTGTTAATGATCAGCGTGACAGATTAGTAAATTTGCAGCTTTGCTTATCATTAGTGACCTTGTCATCCATGCCTTGGTAGGAATTTGTTGGGACCAGTGGTTTCCAGAGACCGCAAGGGCTATGGTGCTACAGGGGGCGGAGATATTGTTCTATCCCACTGCTATTGGTTCTGAACCCCAGGATATGAACCTGGATTCCCGCGAACACTGGAAGCGTGTCATGCAAGGCCATGCCGGTGCTAACTTGGTACTTTTAGTTATTCTATAATGGACTCGTATCTTCTTTCATCACGAATCTAAAAGATATATTTCTTGTATTTCGAAATGATTCTACCAGTTTGCTCAACAGTGTGATGATTCACTTTTGAATATGCCCAACAGGTTCCTCTTGTTGCTTCTAACCGGATAGGAAAGGAAACTGTCGAGACTGAGCATGGGAACAGCACCATAAAATTCTACGGGAACTCATTCATCGCAGGTAATCCAGCTTCTGTTTGTATTTTAAAATTACAGAGGAAGGTGCAACAATAGAAGCATGACTGGTATGATCATTATGTACGACAACTGTGTGCGTGCAGGGCCAACTGGAGAAATCGTGAAGCTTGCAAATGACAAAGACGAGGAGGTGCTCGTGGCAGAGTTTGACTTGGACGAGATCAAATCTACGAGACACGGCTGGGGGATATTCAGGGACAGGCGTCCTGATCTATACAAAGTGCTACTGACGTTGGATGGCAAGACATCATCATCATCATCCTAGGTTCCACTTTTATGAAGACGACATGAACTCCAGAATGCTATACTGGGAAAACACAGGGTCCGTAAGTCTAGCTTCCCCCTGCAAAAGAAATGGTTTGCCTCTTTGCAATGTATCCCCGTGTTTGCGACTCGGTGATTTTCCACCAATAGAGCATTAATAAAATACTGTCATGTAAGAGAATATTTGCTCCTACAAGTATGAAGATGAGGGATCAAAGCAATATAATAATGATGCATCGCATTTATTGAAACATTTAGGTGGTACCCCTACATTTACTGATTTTAGTTACTGAAAATCAATAGGTGGATCATAATTGGCAGAATCAGCATCTTTGACCTCCAAGATATATATACCATTTGCTTTGGCTGTAATGTAGACCTATCAACCAACTGTCACATGTGCTGTATTACTTTTTCATCAAACCAAGTGCAGGCAGGGTTCTTGTGAGCCTAGCTAGAGTGCTTTGCAGCCTGTATACACGCTCATCCTTAGCTGGGGAGCATCGTTGCAACTATGTCGAGGACAAACGCGCCTTTCTTTTGTCGATTCTTGTAACTGAATCCTTGACCCGTGCATCTGCTTCTTTCGACAGACAGATTGAAGAGGAAGTAGCAGTAGATTGACTATGATGGATGCAAAAACTGACCAATTTTGTTTCGATATTTACATCTCTTTAGTTTAGGAAGGACAGTGTCATGGCCATGGCACTCTTAGGACTCTTTGACGATGACAACTCAATCAAACAAACTTATTAAACCAAGAAACTCTTAGGACCCTGTTCTGTTGTGGCTTTTGAGTGCTCTTGCAGTCTCCTAGTTGTTGCATTCCTGATCATCATCTTGCTCCGGGTGTGCAAAGTGGAGCTTGAGGCGGCCGTCCTCCCGGCAGGCGTGGAGCAGCTCCCGCGACGGTATCCTCACCTCCCGCAGCACCAGCCGGCCGCCCCCACGCTGCGCCCTCAGGTACTGCCACGGCTTCCCGGCGGCGCCGATCACCGATATGGGCGGCGGGAACACCCTCTTGCCGCCCCTTGCCTTTGCCGGCGCCGGCGTCTCCTCTTGGTCGTCGTCGGAGTGCCCCTGCTGCTGAGTCTTGCAGTCTTCAATGTCGTCGTCGTCGGCCACGATGCCGGCGAGGTCGAGGTCGCCCGAGCTCTCGGAGCTCTCGGAGCCGAGGCCCTCGGTGCAGAGGCCAGGGTGGCGGGACGCTGCCGCCTTGGAGCTGGCGCGGCCCGAATGGAGGCCGAAGAGCGGCGGCGGCGGAGGAGGCAGGGCAGGGGGAGGCGGAGGCGGCATGACGACGCCGTGGATGATGCAACACTGGTCGTGGAAGATGGGACAGTGGCGGCCTCGGTCGTCGTCGTCGTCGAACGGACCCATAGACGGTGGCCGGCGGCCGCCGTCGTGGCCGTAGGCGCACGCCGTGACGGCCATGCGCGCGCGTGCGTGGTGAAGTGGAGTGGGACTCAAACTCTGCTGCCGCCTTGGTGCTGCGATCCCCGCGTGCGCGGGTAAAATATAGGGTGGAGAGGACATGGGACCCGTGGCCTGCCTCCGTTGCGTCGTGCGTCCGTCCGTGGTGGTGATAATGCTGTCTATAGCTGTCTAGCTAGGCTACGGCGTACGTTGGGCTGCGAGATACAGATACTACTTTGCCGCTGCTCGTGCGCGTGGGCTGGGATTGGATACCGGATCGGCGTGGCCTCGAGGTTTCTTTCGGCTGCAGAAGAATCGTGCGGTGCAGTGCTAGTGCTAGTGGCATCACGTTACGTATGTAGGTATGGACATGATGCCGATCCGGCGGCCCCTGGTTTTTTCTTTCAATTTCTAGCGGTGGAAGCAACATCGGCTAGCTGCTTTTGACCGGAGTACCTATCTCATGCTGAATGCTGATGGGTTGGACGCCGGGTTTCGCTCTATCTTAATTCACGCACGTAAAACATCGTTTTTTAAACACAGTACAAACGCAAGCGCTCATATAAACGCACATACACTCACTCATATTAACACACGCACACACCTTATTCCTATGAGCACCTTCAGAAGACTGGGCCGTCATATCATTTTGCGATTTACGAAGTCACGTCGTAGGCGCCTCGTCATCGACGGAAACATCTTCTTTCATTGATTGCGCATCACCGAAAATCCTGAAATAAATAAAAAATTAATGCGAGCAGGTGAGCTAGGAATATATACATGTAAGTTGGTCAAGTTTTGTCCCTCATTTTAAGGCTCCAAATGGACGAGAGCAAGCTTGCTTACTTATCCCTCAAGTTTGCGCCCGGCTGGCTACCCGCTCCTCGGCCCACTCCCGTGGCGAGCATTCACAACTGTCGAATTGTAAGAAGATTGCTAGAAGCGTCTTACCCATTTGGAGGGACGCATACGTGTTACGTAATACGCACACAAGATCGTTGGAGTTACATTTGGGAGGTGTTGGGGATATAACTATTATGTATGACCCGCCCAGGAGGGGCTGGGTTATACCTATGAATATTCTTGAAGCCCAAGACCAAGGTGAAAGATGGCGGTTCAGTAAGGGTCCAAGCCCAGAGGCGACTTAAAGGCCTGTAGAGATAAACCGCCATATGTACATGACTTGTATTGTAAGGCAAGAATAGTTAGAGACCGAGCCGGACACTGGTTATGAGCCGGCCAGGACTCTGAGAGCCGCTAGGCGTCGACCTCTGTATATAAAGGGACGACCCGGCGGCGGTTCAGGGCAAGTAAGATCAGATCGAAAGCTAGGTCAAGCGATTTCGCTCCCTAGTAATCGAGTCATAAGCAATCCCACTCAACACTGGATCGTAGGCTTTTACCTTCACCGTAAGGGGCCGAACCAGTATAAACCCCGTGTCCTTTGTCCCGATTAACCCCTTTAAGCTTCCTAGTTGCGATGGCTCCACGACTAAGTCCTTTCACTAGGACATCTGACGTGACAATTCCACGACAGTTGGCGCCCACCGTGGGGCCAGCGCACGGTGGATTTGAGTTCTTGAAGGGTAGCTTCGAAGGGCTCAAGGGATACACTGTGGGCCGGATGACCAAGAGTCGTCGCGGCAAGATCTACATCGACGACGGAAGCTGGGGTCCCGAGGCCGGCTCAATTGAGTACGGGTACTGGGTCCCCTTCGGCGGAATCCACGTCTTCATCGGGAAGATCGCCGAGCCGGGCCCTGAGCCGGACATCTGCACCGACCTCGTCGAGACGGCTCAGCGTGCGAGACCCGCCCGGGCGCAGCCTGCTGTGAAGCGTGCCTTTGTGGGATGCATCCATGGAGGGGAACTACCTGATGGATCTGTGTCGGCTGGTGAGACGACCATCTACTCTGATGGTGAGTCGTCCACGGGTGAGTCGGATTCATTGTATCAATTGCAAGACGGCGGGCTTGGGGGCTGTTCCGATGGCAGTAGTATTTCGGGCCTCCTTGAGCCGCCGAGCAGAGTTGGGATCTTCATGGCTGGCACGCAACCCATTCAAAATTCTACAACTGCGGCAGCGATAACCTCCGGGTCAGCGGTAGCCGGGGCAGGAGGCCCTGTGCGCCCGCCGGCTCAGGTGCTGATGGATCTCATGGATAAGATGACAGCTCTGTTAACCGCCGCAGTCAACCCGGTGGATCAAGCTCAACATGATGCGGAAGTGGCGCAGTTAAAGCTGGATATAGTACATGCTAAAGAAGACCTAGCGGCGGAAGATGTCAGGATAACTGCAGAGCAGGCGGCTCTGGACGCTCACGCTCAGCGGATTCAGTCGCAGGCTTTCCAACTCATGATGGATCAGAACACGTCCAACGAGGTCACGAGGAGAAGGTACCAGAAGAGTCAGTCCCGTCTGCCTCCGGTTTATGACCCTCGAAATCTCTTTCGAGCGCCCGAAGCAGGGCCCAGTAACCCGCCAGAGGTATACCGGGTTGCAACACCCGGGGCTGGGACGCCGGTTCAGCCGCGTAAGATGGATCCTCCCCGGATGAATACTGCTCCACCTCAGTATGTACCAACACCACCGGGTCATTATTCTAACCCATTGGAGAACATGATTGCTGTGGCGGCATGACTGGCAGCTCTACCGGTGGAGAGGGACTCTCCGACGGCGGTTGAAACTCGCAGGGTCAGAGAACTTCTTCAGACGGCTTTAGCACAACAGGAGGCGTACTCATATAGCCGGGACATGATTCATTCAACCCCTCGTCCAAGCCGGAGCCCAAGTTATAGCAGGCATATGGATTCAGCGGCCGTTTCAAGCAACGCCCGACGCTGTGACCAGCTGCGCGGGCATGACCTGGCGCGCGATGGAGCTCTTAACTTGGTGGATCAGGGTAGAATACGTCAAGAGGCTGAGCGGGCGGCTCAGCAGGCGGCTGAGCAAGCGGCTCAGCTGGCGGCTTACCAGCCTTTTCCGGTTTATCCGACGACTTCTATTGAGGCAGGTGCGACCACCAGGACCGTAGGAGTCCCCTGTCTGGTGCCAACTCTGCGCAACAAGCGTTTGCCCAAGGATTTCAAAGGGCCCAGAAAGGTGCCTAATTATATGGCCGACTTACAGCCTGGGGCGTGGATTGAAAGCTACAAGATGGCTATGGAGTTACTGGAGGTCAGTGACACTGCGATGGCCAAGTACTTCACCATGATGTTGGATGGGACTGCCCGCACTTAGTTGAAGGGGCTGCCGCCTAATTCCATCGGTTCATGGGCAGAGATAAAAGCCCGGTTCATTCAGAACTTCAAAGATACATGCAAGCAGCCCATGTCAATTGTGGTTTGACTAATTGCAAGCAAGAGAAGGGTGAGTCCACAACCCATTGGGTGCGCCGGGTCAAGGCCATAATACATTCGTCTGATAAGATGGATGCCGGTGTCGGTGTCAAAACCGGCGGATCTCGGGTAGGGGGTCCTGATCTGTGCGTCTTAGGCTGATGGTAACAAGAAGCAAGGGACACAATGTTTACCCAGGTTCGTGCCCTCTCGATGGAGGTAAAACCCTACTTCCTGCTTGATTAATATTGATGATATGAGTAGTACAAGAGTAGATCTACCACGAGATCATAGAGGCTAAACCCTAGAAGGTAGCCTATGATGATTATGATTGTAATTGTGATCGGCCTTCTAAGGACCAATCTCTCCAGTTTATATAGATACCAAAGAGGGCTAGGGTTTACACGGAGTCGGATACAAGGAAGGAAATACAATATCCGGATCGCCAAGCTTGTCTTCCACGCCAAGGAGAGTCCCATCCGGACACGTGACAGAGTCTTGAGTCTTGTATCTTCACGCTCCAATAGTCCGGACGAAGTATATAGTCCGGCTGTCCGAGGACCCCCTAATCCAGGACTCCCTCAGTAGCCCCTGAACCAGGCTTCAATGACGATGAGTCCGGCGCGCAGTCTTGTCTTCGGCATTGCAAGGCGGGTTCCATCTCCGAATACTCCAAAGCAATTATCGAACACTTAGACCGTGTCCGGATCTGCGAGATGATCCTCACATACTATCGCAGGGAACATAGCATAAATCTGATCTGCTGGCAATATTCATACGTCGTGCCCTTGCATCGTGGCCCGGCCTAACACGAACCAGTATTTCTTGGCCCACCTCGACTTGCGTTGCGGGGCGGTTTTAATGACACGCCCTACCAAAGCAGAGATCATGTTTCTCTTATTATGGGATCTTCCATCAATATGGGCGTGCGCAACCCCACGATGACCGTTGGTATGACTCCGTGTGTTTTTAGATAAGCCTCAAGCGGTCACGCTGAGGACTCTTGATATTCACCCCCTTTATAAAGTGGCCGAGGCCTATGCCTCTTTTCTACCACCCTTGCGCCTTTTCGCACCTCGAGTTCTAACACCCGAGACCCAAGCTCAAACACCCCAGATCCTCCAATATGTCCGGATCCAACCCTCAAGGCCGGTGGGTGGCCTCCTCGATCCAAGAGGAGGACATTGCGAGGCTTAGGGAGGCCGGATATCTGATTGCCGACATCCAGCACAGGCTTCCTGCTCTAGGGCAGGTCATCCCTACACCCGAGCCCAATGAGAGCATCATATTTGTTCCTCACTTACTCCACGGCTTGGGCCTCACCCTTGATCCCTTTGTGAGGGGGCTCATGTTCTATTACGGGTTAGATTTTCATGATCTAGCTCCGGACGCTATCCTCCATATCTCGTCGTTCATCATTGTGTGCGAGGCTTTTCTCCACGCCACTCCACACTTCGGCTTATGGCTCAAGACCTTCAATGTGAAGCCGAAGATGATCGAGGGGCGACATGCGGAGTGCGGAGGTGCCATAATAAGCAGGAACGTCGATGCCCTATGGCCAGAGGGTTCTTTCCCAGAAGTATTTGATGTATGGCAGCGGAGGTGGTTTTATGTCACGACTCCCA